TTACATATTTTAATGATTTTTTTTGCCCCCCTCCCTCCCCCATATCCCCTCCCTCCCCATAGTTTTATGTCCATTGGTTGTACTTTCACTCACACTTTTCTTAGTGATTTATAAAACATTGATTTGGCCAAAACCGGTTTGGCTCAGTGGTAGAGAGTCGGTCTGCAGACTGAAAGGTCCCAGGTTCGATTCCGGTCAGAGGCATGTACGTTGGTTGTGGGCACATCCTCGGTGGGGGGTGTGCAGGAGGCAGCTGGTCGATGTTTCTCTCTCATGGACGTTTCTAGCTCTCTATCTATTTCTCTTCCTCTCTGTAAAAAATCAATAAAAATATATTTTAAAAAACATTGATTTGTTGAAAAGCCATTGATGAAAATGCAAATTATTATGGTGTATATATTTTCTTCATTTCATTTTTCTCCCCTCTTGATCATTTAGTAGCTGCTGTTTCAGGCATTATAAAATGCCCTGGCAATAAATGTTTGGTTACTAATGAGAAGGTTAGCATACTGAAATCATAGTGAATAAAGGAATTTATGAAATAATTTGCTTGCTGAAAATCAACCTGTTTTCAATAGCAGTTATTATTCAATATGAGTTTTCTAAAATGCAGGCAAGAACTAATTTGAATTTATTTGTTTTTCTGTAAAATATCTCAAAAGCATTTTTTCTTAGGGCTAAACATAATTTATCTTTGATGGAATACATCATCCAAATTGCATCATTTCAGATTATCTGTGCATCTTGGGTTTTTTAATGTGTCAAGCTCTATTTATTTCTTCTTTTGTTTCCCCTCTTCTCAAAAGTTTATTATTAGTAAATTATGAAATTTCTGAAATAAAATATTTCATAGTGCTTGAGACCATCTGTGTTGCAGTCTTTATCTATAAACAGAGAATATGCCCAGAAAATCAGGCTAAGGGCTATGAGCAAGGGCAAAACCACAAACTTGATGGCAGCGTCACCTACTGGAAAATCAAGTTTCCAGCAGCCAACCTGGCGAGTTATATAAGAACCAGAGAAGATACACAAGCTTAACTATGAATTCAGACACAGAAGTAACAAAAAATCTGAAGCAGGTATATTAACAGAAAATTCCAGATGTAAGCAGGACCAACAAAAAATATCTCCAACTCAGTGATAATTAGGAAAACATTGAGATGTCTGATACTTTAAAATGCAAAAGCAACAACACAAAATTTCAAGAAACTGAAGAACCAAAGAAAAGTCATCATCAAAAGATAACAATCTATTGTACAATAATAAAACTAAAAAATATGGATATTGGTGATTTACCTGATAAAAATGTCAGTGTAACTGTTTCAAGGAATCTAATACTATAAGAAAGCATAGAAAGACAATTCAATAAAATCAGGAAATTATACATAAATAAAATGAACAATTTAACATATATAAATCATCAAAATGAAACAAACAGAAGTTTTGGAACGGCATAATTCAATGAACAAGATGAAAAACACAATAGAAAGTATCTGCAATAGAATAGAACAAATATTTTAAATAAGGTGTCTTTAAACAAAAAATACATAAAATAAGGTTATGTATTGATTAGTTGATAAAAAATGTTATAAGTGGAGGTTATAAGAACTTAACTCTGTATTCTCCTAGCAATGTAATAACCTTGTATTCCTTTAGGAACAATGATTGAGTCTTTGTTCATTCAGTGTCTGTGGTAACTTTATAGAAAATAACTACCTAGAGTAATGAAAATCAACAGTATTTATATAAAAACATGAATGCAATGCTTCTGTGGGGAAGTATTGCCCATTAAGATTAGTAAGGACAAATGTTTGCTTTGGGAAGCATAGTTCATAATTTTCATGTTGGCTTGAGTATCTGTGGGTCATAAGATATCTAGACAGTTAACTGAGAAGAGCTCACCTTTTACATTCACATTCTAATTTCCCTCATGCATCTTTTTGAAATATTGAATTTTCTTGCATTTGTTTTCTTTAACAGTTACATATTTTGCATTTATTTATACATTTTTGTATTTCCCAATAGCTGTATTAAATCATTTGTGAAAGAGCACATGAACTAAATAAGTTATACCCTCTGGCAGCTACCCAATCTAATAATCATCCCATGCATAAAATGCCCTTCAGAAAACCAAATTTATTTTTCTGAGGCTTGTTGGCATGTTAAAGGCCATAGACCATGCTATTTGCATGGTAGATGTGCCCTGAGAACTGTGAATAATAAAATATAGGGCAATACATTATAATATACTACTTAACTGTCATGTGATGATTTAAACTTCCACACCACACTATTTTAAAATTCTCAAAGCACCAGTGTGCAATGGCCCCTCTAATGAGAATAAGTAAGGGTAATATGTGCGTATTTCTATTCATCTACTATGTATGTGCTTATAGATATGTATATATTTTTATTGGTTGTACATGAAAATTAATGAAGTAGGATTCTGAAATCTAATATTTTTTAAAACCATTTTGTGTATTCTAACTCTCAACTCTTTATGTGCATCTAGTATAGATTATTTCATTGGAGCCCTTTTTGTCTTGCCAGACTTTTTATATTAGCACAAAATATTTTACCTTTTTTTTTTCCTTAGCTATTTCTATTATACTAGTTTCAAATATTCCACACCCTAGCGCATATCTGAACAGACTAACTATCTGAGTTGTAGGTTGTGTTTGTAATGTGTAGATCCATTTTAGTTCTGATATTTTAATTCAACCCATGACACAGTGATTTCCTTTTCCAACAAAGATGTTTGAAGAAATAATTTTGAGTTTATTTCATTAGATATCTGGAAACATATTGCTATCATTCAATTTTAAAATTGCATAATTTAAAAATCAAATCACAGCTATATAAGAATGATAGAAGTTTTTTGAGAGAGAACAGTGTCCTTCGGGTCAGAGGTTACACTAAAAATATATAAATTTTACTTGGAAGCCTTTTTAGTTAACTAACATTTCCACTAAACCCGTACTCCAATGGTCTTTTAGTACTACTTGTGCTATTTTTTTCCAATTTATTGGGGTGACTTTGGTTAATAGGATCAAATAGGCTTCATTTATAGATTTCTATGATACAAGATCTGTATATTGAACTGTGTGCCCTCTACCTAGAGTCAAATATTGGCCACCATATATTAGGCCTCATCTCACCCCCATGTTCCCCACCCCTTTCCCTCTGGCAACCACCACCTTGCTGTTTGTGTCCATGAGCTTCAGTTTTATATCCATAAATGAGTGAAATCCTATGGTTCTTATGTTTTACTGATTGGCTTATTTCACTAATCATAATATTCTAAAGGTCCATCCATGTTGTCGCAAATGGCAGTATTTCATCTTTTCTTATGGCTGATTGTGTATATGAATCAAGTCTTCTTTATCCAGTCCTCTATTGCAGGACACTTTGGTTGTCTCGATATCTTAGCCACTGTGAATAATGCTGTAATGAACATAGGATGCATATATCTTTGTGAATACATGATTTCTAGGTTTTTGTTTGTTCGTTTGTTTTGTTGTGTTTTGTTTTTCTAAGGAGAGGAATTGCTAGGTCAGCAATACCTGGTATTCCAAGGAGAGGGATTGCTGGGTCAGATGGTAACTATCAAGTTAAGGCTACATGCGTTATTTAAGTTGTATCTCTCACTTCATTCTCAGTTCTCTTTGACCTGTAGAAAGTCAAAAGTTTGCTTTTTAAAGCTGCCTGCCTGGAGGACTGACTATACCCACTGAATGAAATGGGATACTAAAATCTACCACTGTTGTACTTTGTACTTTTGGTATATTTTTTAAATCATAATTGTATTTTATTTTTCTAAGTTGGAGGCTACAAATTGTAGGAGTTACTGTGCCAGTGGATATGTTTTGTTTGTTCCATTAAATGTATAATTTATTTATCTAAAATCTGATGCCAACCTTAGAATGAAGAGGTTATTTATAAAATTAAACTATTAGAAGACTTAGCAATAATGACACCTTATTCCATTATGCCAAGAATTTGCTGGGGCTGAGGAGCAAATAACACCTTAGAGAGGCTACATGCTCCTCAGTTGGTATCATTCCCATCAGGCTGTTGAAGGTGATCCACAAATAAGTTGGAATACAACAAATGAATAGGGATACTCAGGGAAAGCTTGAAGAATGGAGACTCTGGATGTAGGGACAAATTGTGCAAAGACCTACAGGTAAGACAAAAGAACAGTGAGTTTTTGGTGGAGATCAATCTATAATAATAAAAGCATAACATGCTAAGTAGACTGTACATCCTTCTGGAGGAAGCCTGGGCTGGGAGGGCCGAGCCCCTGGCTCGAATTTCGTGCATCAGGCCTCTGGTAGGAAATAAAGCCAAACACCAAGTCCTGGTTGTATATGCCCCATTAAGTTTTGTGGTTGTTGTTTTAATCCAAATGAAAATATATGACCAACTCCTGTCACATAACAGCTTCCTACTCGAACAATCTTGTGAGCACGAATCAACGCCCTCCTTTCTTTCTCCTTTGCTAGTAGGAGCATCTGTTGTCTTTGACATTCTTGCTGAAACTTGCCACTTGCATGTAATTACCGACCTGAATTTCATTGAGCTCTCTGAAATTTTTTTTCTTTCAGTTTAAAATAGAGTAACTCACTTGCACATACAGTTTAAATTCTAGCTTGCAGATAGCTTGATGCATTAAGGTGTTTATAAGGAGGAAACACAGATCCACTTTCTCCACGGGGACTAAGACGCTAATGGCCATAAATTGGTCCAAATGTGCTTCAGGCTGAATGTGGGTCTTGTGTTTCTCTGTCCCAATGCGAGGACCGTGATGTTGGTAATTGTGGACTTTAAACGCTCTTATGTAAGGTTTCCTTTGAGTCCCTTTGGGTCTGTGATTGTGGGCAGCTGTCGACTCCTCTTTGTGAATAAAGGACTGTGGGGTTTTTTTTTTGTGCTGGAACAGTTCTGGTGTGCTACTGATGAAGTGAGAACCGACAGATATCCTCTTCTTTTATTTTCAGCTCACCCCCGTTGGCACCACGATATTTACAGGATTTGAAGGAGACAATGGAGCTACAGACATCGATGATGGCCCAAATGGACAGATAGAATATTCGATTCAGTATAATCCTGATGATCCAGTATGTACATACCTGCTTGCAGTGTGACTTGACACTGAGAAATAAAATCAATGCTTACTTCTTGTGATATTTATTATTTACTCTGTTAGCTCTTAGAACTACATTAGTAGCAATAATATAATTAAGTGCTACCTCAAAATTGCATTCTTTTGAATGTGGGCTATGCTTTGGAAAGCTCATTATTTGGTGGTATTTGTAGGGAATCATTTATAGTATGTTTAGGTTTAATATGGCATTTTTACTAAATCTCCATGATGTTTGTGGACTCCTAAGCATTCTAAAGAAATCATTGGACGTGGTATAACCACTGTGATTCATAGGCTTTATGGAACTTACAGAGGAATGCCACTGCTGCCACTTCCCTACCCAGGAAACCTGAGGTGGAGAGGAGGACAGAGCCTCTGGCTATGGGTGTTTTAGGCTGCGAATTTATTTCTTCCAATGATATATTTAACACAGATGAAAGCGGAATTGTTTTTGCTGAGGCTAAAGCTGGTATTGTGCCTGCCATCTTGTCTTCCTCTTTTCCCCAGACAACTTCTCAGAACATCATGGGCTTCCCAAAGCATAGTTTTCTGTTTGTTTGTTTGTTTGTTTGTTTGTTTCCCAAAGCATGGTTTCGTTTTGTTTTGTTTTAAAAATTTTTTATATTTTATTGATTTTTCACAGAGAGGAAGAGAGAGCAATAGATAATTAGAAACATCATTGAGAGAGAATCATAGACGAGCTGCCTCCTGCACACCCCCTACTGGGGATGTGCCTGCAACCAATGTACATACCCTTGACCAGAATCGAACCTGGGACCTTTCAGTCTGCAGGCTGATGCTCTATCCACTGAGCCAAACCAGTGTCGGCCCAAAGCATAGTTTTAAACTCATTTCTTAAATGAGATTTATAAAGGAATGTTTCTTTCCATTAATATTAGGAATATAAAAAGTGGTGAAGATAATATTATATCTTTATTTTTATATCATGTATTTCTAAGGTAAGCTTTAAACAATCAACAGAAATGACTGTGCTTGTTCAGACTAAAAATTCACAAAAGATCTCCATCACAAGTTTATTGTGAGAATTAAGTGAATTGTGAATGAATTTTCTCCTTTTAGTCTCAGAAATCAATCAGTGAATAGTAGTATCTCTCTTGCAAAGGAGAGAGCACATGCTCCTAGGTGAAGTGATTTACCTGGTATCATGCAGCCACTTCTTAGCTATAGAGTCAGGACTCTGATTTGAGAATAGCATGTTTTGTGTTCTAATAAAATAGTTGTGTTAAAATTTTCCCAAACTATGGAGAATGAAAAATGAAAAAAATGAAGGGGAAAAAAAAAAGCCTATGGGCATAGCAGGGTCAAGGGAAGACGGGGAGGGCGTGGAGTGGTTTGTTTTTCTCCTATAAAGTTTGTCTCCACGTGAAACCAAGAGATGGGGAAGTAATGAGAAAGTGACAGAGGACAATAAGGATGAAAGGTTACACAAGAAATGGCATGGAAAAGATCAAAGAAATAGAGGAGAAAAGGGCAAGAGAAACAGATTTTCCTTAAAAGTTACAAACAGGCAGCTGACTGCACATTTTATTTCTAAACCATTTTCTTTACTGTTTAGGTTTTTAAAAGAATTAATTATATGTGTGTGCCATGTTCCTAGCTCACAGTTTATGAAGGCCATTTCCTAATCTTTACTCCTAAAGTTGTATAAATGAACATCCCAGCCAAGTATAGAATGGCCAAACCATATATTTTAGGGCAACATTTATTACATTGCTTTAGGAAAAAAAAAAATACCCAAGGTTTAGCTATAGTGTGAGAAGCTATCTTTTTGAAGTTTTGTGAGGCTGGAATTCCTTGTTGGCTGTGCAGTAATTCCTTCTGAATGCTTTTCCCTCTCAGGGATATGTAGGCTTGGCATAAAATACAATATATACATTTTACTGCCTACAGATTGGACAAGCCAATCAGCCACATGCAGTTTCAAAATTACAATAAGAAAAAGAAAGAAAAATGTCCTTCAGCAAGCTCGTAGTACAGTGGAATACATAAAGACATTCTCTGGGCATGGTTCTAATTCAGTGAGGTAGAATAAGACATCATGCCAGCATTTAACTTAGGATCTAATGGAGGAGAAAACATTAACCCAGTCATGTCCTTACAGAGAGAACCCACCTTTACATCATAGAAACTTGGTGTAAACCTCAGTACCAGTTTTCTCTCTTGTAAGATCTCTGAGAGAGAAATACCTGATGGTATTAATATTCTGCCACGCTTCTATTTTTAGTAATTCTCCTTACATTAACAATGGCATAATATTCATCTACTAACTTCTTAATTTTAAAAAATTGTCTGAACTACAAAAATATTTAACTTAACTGTGGCTACCTCTGGCTTTTGCAATCACAATTGTGATTTCTTTTATATTAATCTTACACTGTAGGATGAACCGTAAAACGTGTAGATTGCTCTATTCTACCTAAAAATCTTAGAGTTTTATTTGTTGTTGTTGTTTTAATATGATACTACATTAATCATTAATGGAAATTACAAATTAGTGACCTGGATTTCAACATTTTGTTTGGCCAGAAATCATTTTAAATAACTTTTGAGCCAATCATGAAATTTCACATTCAAAACTTGATTTCTCTTCTCTCTTAAGAAATAGAAATATGACAATGCTGGTCCTGATTTCCAATAAGACAACAATCAACTAGACTCGTTATTCTGTGTTCTCATGAGGAATGAATTCCCACCACTCAGAAAATATATGTATTGCTGCTTATACTCTAAGGAATTTTATTCATTTACAGAATTGCTTTATCCTTATAGAAATTTGCAGAAGTCACTTCTGCCTTACAGTAATATAAATTATTTAAATCAATTCTTCCCATTACTTTAAACAGAGTTTCTGATAAGAGAAGTCAATAGAAATTTGAATCATGTTTCCCAGTATGGTTTCAAGGTTCTTTTTTAATCTTGAGTGTTTGGCAACTTAACTATGTCATGCCAGATTGTTGTTTTGTTTGCGCATGTGATGTTTTGTTTGTTTTTTATAATTACCTATTTTGAAATAGGTTACTGAGATTCTTTTTTATTTTTCTTTATTGATTAAGATATTACATATGTGTTATTATCCCCACATTGTCCCTCTACCCCCTTGACTCGTGCCCTCACCCTCGGATGTCTGTGTCCATTGGTTAGGGCATACAAGTCCTATGGTTGATCTCTCTCTCATACCCCCGCTGTTCCCTATCTTCCCTCTGAGGTTTAATGGTCTGATCGATGCTTCTTTGTCTCTGGATCTGATTTTGTTCATCAGTTTATTTTGTTCATTATATTCAACAAATGTGTGAGATCATGTGATATTTATCTTTCTCTGACTGGCTTATTTCGCTTAGCATAATGCTCTCCAGATCCATCCATGCTGTTAAAGCTCTGCATTTTTATTTCACCAGTTAAATAAAATATCAGTCATTATTTGTTTATATTTTCAATCCTATTTCCCTAACAGTTTTTCTTCTGAGATGGCAATTACAGGAATGTTAGTCATTTAAATATTTCTCCATTGGTACAGGCTCTGCTCAAATATTTTCAGTAGATTTTAATCACTTATCTGCAACTTTCAATTTTCTATTGATATAGTTAAGGTTACTGTCTTCTCTGTCATCTCCATTCTGTTGTTAAACATATTCAATGTGTGTGTGTGTGTGTGTGTGTGTGTGTGTGTGTGTGTTATTTCAGATAGTATAATATTCAGGTATTGATTTTTCCACATTTTTATAGTTTGTTTTTCTTTGTTGTGCTTTTTCAGCTTTTTATCTACAATGATGATATTATTTTTATATCTCTTAATATAGACATAGTTATGAATAGCTGATTTAAAAGACATTATCTGCTTCTTTGAATATTGGTCTTCCTTGATACTTTCTCCTCTTGAAAAGCGATCACATTTCCTGTTTCATATCAGTTTGGTTTGGACTCTGTCCTGGACATTGTAAATGTTACATTGTGGAGAGACTCTTGGTTTTATTATATTCCTTCAAAAAATTTTTTTGTTTTGTTTGTTTGTTTTATCAGACACTTTGATTGGACTCAAGTTGAAAACTTTCCTGGATGCAGCTCAAATCTCAGTTCAGCATATAATTTTTTCTTAGCTTATCTGAGTGTAGTCTTCTTCATGCAAGTGTGGTTTCAAGATCAAACTAAAGTTTTGGACATGTTTTTAATTGAATTTATTGGATGAGAATCTATAACAATAAAAGCACAATATGCTATTTAGTCTGGACAGCTGAATGATCTTCCAGAAGTGCTTCTGAACGATCTTCCGGATGAAGCTGGGCTTTGAGAGCCAAGGCAAGCCACCTTGGCTTCAAGGCCTAGCCCCTTGCACACATTTTGTGCATTGGGCCTCTGGTTGTTAATAAAATGTTATAGTTGCAGCTGTAAGATTTTGTTTCATCTATATATTGTATTATGTATTCACCATCCAAGTGTCCTTCCATTATCATTTATCTCCCCTTTTAAGGCCTTCTTCCTCCCTTCACCACCTTTCCCTCTGATGATTATCTTACTATTGTCTGTGTCTATGAGTTTGTTTATTTTTTCCCCTTATTCTCTTCACCTTTTCCATTTAGCACCTCAAAATCTCTCTCATCTAACAGCTATCAGTCTTTTCTCCATATCTATGACCCTGTTTCTATTTTGCTTGTTGTTTTATTTGGTTCATTTGATTCCACATATAAGTGAAATGATTTGTCTTTCTCTGACCTGCTTATTTCACTCAACAGAATACTCTTTAGGTTCATCCATGCTAGCGCAAAGGATAAGATTTCCTTTTTATGGCCGAGTAGTAGTCTATTGAATAAATGTACCACAGTCTTTTTAAAAAATATATATATTTTATTGATTTTTTTTTTTTTTTACAGAAAGGAGGGAAGAGGTATAAAGAGTTAGAAACATCAATGAGAGAGAAATATTGATCAGCTGCCTCCTGCACACTCCCTACTGGTTATGTACCCTCAACTAAGGTACATGCTTTTGACCGGAATCAAACCTGGGACCCTTGAGTCCACAGGCCGATGCTCTATTCACTGAGCCAAACCTGTTAGGGCTACAATCCTTTTATCCAAGCATGTACTGAAGAGCACTTTGGCTGCTACCAAATCATTGTTATAATGAGCATAGGGGTACATATATTTTTTTGAATCAATGATTTTGGTTTCTTCAGATAGATTCCCAGAAGTGGAATCACTGGGTCTTAAGACAGTTCTATTTTGAATTTTTTAAGGAGAGTCTATACTGTTTCCACATTGTATTCACCAATCTACATTCCCACAGACAGAGCACAAGGGTTTGGTTCTTTTCTCCACATCCTCTCCAACACTTGTTTGTTCATTTATTGATGATAACCATTCTGATAGGTTGAGGTGATATCTCATTGTGTTTTTACTTTGCATTTCTTTGATGATTGGTGACATTGAGCATCTTTTAATATATCTAAGGATCATTTATATTTTCTCTTTGGAGAAGTGTCTATTCAGGTCCTTTGCCCATTTTTAATTGTTTTTTTGTTTGTTGGTTTTTGTTTATCATTATTATTATTATTATTATTATTATTATTTTGGTGTTGAGTCTTATAAGAACTTTATTGATTTTGGATATTAACCCATTATCAGATGTGTTATTGGTGAGTATGTTCTTCCATTCAGTGAGTTGTCTTTTTATTTGTTGATGTTTTCCTTTGCTTGTCAATTTTTTCTTTTTATTTTTAAATAGTCCCATTTGTTTAATTTTTGTTTGTTTTCCTTGCCTGAGAAGACATGTCAGGAAAAATATTGCTACTAGAAATGTCCAAGATTTTACTGCACTTGTTTTCTTCAAGAATTTTTATGGTTTCCAATCTGGCATTTAAGTGTGTAACCATTTTGAGTTTATTCTTGTTTATGGTGTAAAGAAGGTGGTCTAATTTCATTTTTTATACATTTATCTGTCCAATTTTCTCAATACTATTTACTGAATAGGCTCTCTTTACCCCATTTTATGTTCTTCTTTGTTAAATGTTAATTGACCATAAAAGTATAAGTTTATTTCTCGACTCTCTATTCTGTTCCATTGATCTATGTGTCTGATTTTATGCCAGTACCATGCTGTTTTGATTATTATGGCCTTGCAGTATAGTTTGATATCAGGTAACATGGTTCCTCTAACTTTTTACTTCTTTCTCAAGATTGCTGTGGCTATTCATATTTGGACTATGCAATACTCCATTGACATTGTGATAGAGAGACCATTTTATCAATCTTCTAAATGGCATTAAAACACAGAGTGATGTAAGGAATTTTTTTATGGATAAGAGACTGATCTTATATGTTATATTCTTTTGAGGTGTGAATACATTGTCTTACACTGAGGGAAAGAATACTGGAAATTGCCCTTAGGATATGCACGTTACCTGGAAAAAAAACTCAATCCCTGACAGGGTAGGAGATTTAAATAATGATCAGAGTTCCCAGGTATGAATAAAAAGTAAAACCATAACGTAGATGATTTTTCACAAAAATAGTGTTTCAATTTAATAGCTGGATTTAATACTTGAAAAAGTTTAGAATACAGAATGGACACCGATGTTGAAAGTGATATTATGTAGAATAACTGGAATATTTCAGCCCTTTGTTGATAAAACAAGTGCTGAAAGGGTAACATAATAACAGGGAAATTTTTCATATAGTATTGACTTTGATTTAGAAATAAACTAAAAATATTTTTTAAACTCTCACAAAGAACAGGATTCCTGGTTAACATTATCAGAGGACTTTGATAAAACCTACTGATCAAAATGAAAATTTTGAGAAATAAGAATAGCAAATCTGAAGTGTATACTCACATTCTATTTTCAAGGAATAAGCATGCTCTCTGTAACTTTTAAGGATACTAAATTACACTATCAAAATCCCTAATTCATTGTATATTCAAATTATTTTGAATCTTTGTCTTCACTTATTTTCAGACATCCAATGACACCTTTGAAATTCCCCTCATGTTGACTGGAAATGTTCTGTTAAGGAAAAGGCTCAACTATGAAGATAAAACACGCTACTATGTCATCATTCAAGCTAATGTGAGTATTCAGTTTCTCTTACTATTCTCCTATGAACTTATGAAGTAAATAAGTTGTTCAAAATGTCTAAGTTCTCTGACAGTACTCAGTATAGTTTGCACTTCCTCCTTTGGAAAATAAAGTAGCGTTGGCCTCAGTGTAATTTGTATAAATATTCTTCTACCTGGCAAATGGGATGGAATAGGGGATGAAGATTATTTCCACTCACTGTAAACTTTACTCTCTGAACCACTTGTACTCCCTGCTCTTCAGTGATTGGTGTTTAGCTCATACTGAAGTATTTCTCAAAGCAGGAACCACCAAACAATTTAAGCCAAATCACCATGAGAGAATATTAAAAATGTAGATTTCTTGAACCAACCTCAGTATCTCTAAATGAAAATTTCAGAGGCTAGAAATGCATATTTTTAATATATATTTTATTGATTCTTTACAGAGAGGAAGGGAGAGGGATAGAAACATAGAAACATCAATGAGAGAGAAACAATCAACTGCCTTCTACTTACCTCCTTACTGGGGATGTGCCCGCATCCAAGATACATGCCCTTGACCAGAATTGAACCTGGGACCTTTCAGTCTGCAGACCAATGCTCTATCCACTGAGCTAAACCAGTTAGGGCTAGAAATGCATTTTTTATTAGTTTCGCAGGGGACTCCAAAGTACACTAAAAGTAGAAAACTACTTTTCTTTTTTTTCATATTGGTAATCTTTTTCCTCATGGCTATCATCCTATATAATAAAGAGGTAATATGCAAATTGATCATCACTCCAATACACAAGATAGCCACCCCCATGTGGTCAAATATGACTACCTCCATGTGGACACAAGATGACAGCCACAAGATGGCCTGCAGGGGAGGGCAGTTGTACGTGATCAGGCTAGAAGGGAAGGATCAGTTGGGAGAGACCAGGCCTTCAAGAGAGCACAGTTGTGGGTAATCAGGCCTGCAGGGAGGGCAGTTGTGTGTGACCAGGCCTGCCAGGGAGGACAGTTGGGGGTAACCAGGCCTGCAAAGGAGGGCAGCTGGGTGAGGGGACCAAGCCTGCAGGATAGTGCAGTTGGAGAGGACCAGACCTGAAGGGAAGGGCAGTTAGGGGCATCCAGGCCAGCAGGGGAGGGCAGTTAAGGGCAATTGGGCTTACAGGGGAGCAGTTAGGCATTGATCAAGCTGGCAGGGGAGTGGTTAGGATGTCATCAGACTGGCAGACAGAAGTGGTTATGGGTAGGCAGGTAGGCAGGAAGGCAAGTGATTGGGAGCCAGCAGTCCTGGATTGTGAGAATGATGTTAGATTTCCCATTTAGGATCAGGCCTAAACAGGTAGTTGGACATCTCTTGAGGGGTGACAGGTTGGAAAAGGTGAAGGCTGGGATGAGGAAAACCCTCCCATGCATGTATTTTATAAACCAGACCTGTAGTTTATTGTATAGCTGTTCACTAAATATTAGCTACAATGACCATAACCATCGTATGTGGACAGTAGTAACAGAAAGCCTGAAAAATAGTTGCTTATATAATTTAACATTTATTATTAATATTATTATTATTTTAATAAAAGCTGTGTCTCATGCCTCTGTGTGACTGATCAAGTATATAAAGATTTTAGTTCCTTCTATCCTAAAGTTTTCCCCTTCCCCTGAAATTTAGTTATGTTTCCAATGCCTTGTCTGCTGGTGCTTATGAATATTATACCTATTAGCAAAACTGAGTGTAAGCAAGTGGAAAGAGTGCTAAATATTTTTTAAAGGTTGATTATGTCTCCTTTTATTTCAGAGGACACTGGGATAGTGTCCTCTCAACTTCCCCTCATAGACCATTATCACATGAGCAGGCACAGCAGAAAGGAAAGTTGAGAAAGTCTATCTGTGGTTAATGGGGTAGAGATATTTAACTCTGGATGACAACAACTATGGTTCATCTTCCGGAGCTGGGCACATTGATAACCTAGAAAAATAATGTTGGCACTAAGAAGAATGCATTTTAGGAATAAAAACTAACAAGACTGACCACAGATAGCTTTAAATATTAAAAAATAAAATAAAAAAAGCCCCATAACAAGTGGCAGGGATATTCTGAAAAGGTAGTGAGCCTTCAAAGCCATCGTGTGTCTTTAAGGACCCATATATATACATTATATATAATATGTGTGTGTGTGTGTGTGTGTTTCTGTAGATAGAAATCAAAATTTTAAAGTCAAACTTTTAGACTTTCATTGAAAATTCTTATGGGTTGTTTTGTTTGTTTTCAATTCATTGTGGATTGTGTTGATGTCAAGTGGAAGAAACAAGAGTAAAAACTATTGACACAGGAAAAAGTAAAATCTATAAGATCTCAATACTGCTCCCATAACAATGAATTTTAAAAAAAATTTTCTATGTAAAGGAATATATGAACAAAAGATATAATTTCCCTTTCTGACTCAATATCTCTAATATAATTCACACAAAAATTCAGCATGCTATGGCATGTATTTGAAAGCTAGTTTGTATTGTGCTCATTAAAATGAACTAATTTTATTTTATAAAGAAATGTAAGCTAACAAAAATCTGAATTGCTGTCTAAACTTAAATATTTATAAAGCCATCTGGAATAATTTGTATTCAATTTACTAGACTACTCATAACTAGGGAGAGAGTGATAAGTTTTTAATGTGTCAGGAATGAAATTATGAAATTGATGTATATACATGAATCATTGAAAGTAAGGAATGGAATTAATGAGAAGTTCGGAGATTTTTTTCAACTAAGAAAAGAAATTTTATATAATTTTAAAGCATACAGTATTAAATGTGAACAGAAGCTATAGAACATTATAACTTTGGGGTATTTTAAAAGTTTTCAGAATTATATACTAATGTTAGAGAGAGGAAGAGGTAGAAACATCAATGATGAGAGAGAAGTATTGATCAGCTGCCTCCTGCACACCCCTTACTGGGGATGTATCAGCCAGATGCTCAGGTATCTGCACTGACTTCAGATCTAACTGTGATTTCCAGGTTCATGGGTTGATGCTCCACCATTGAAACACAAGAGCATCATAGAATTATATATTATTTAAAGTTGTAGAACATACTGAAATTAGTATCTATTACAATTTATTCAACTATACTTAAATTCTGTTTGTTTGTTTTTGCATTTGGATATGGAATTAAGAGTTCCCTCATGACTATTATGAAAGGCAATAAGTGAAGCTTAGTGTTAAAAGCATTAACTCTAGAACCAGCTCTGCCATTTACTAGTTGTCTGACTTCAGGGATACTTTGACTGTCAGTTTCCTAACTAAAATGAGGATATTAATGAAACATGCCACATAGGGTTCTTGTCAGAATTATTATGTTAGCAAACAAAAATGAACTTAGATTAATGCTTAGAATATATTCTGAGATCATTACAGTATAACATAACCACTATAGTTCTTCTAATTTACTGTTTAAAATGGGTAATTTAAAAATAGAATAACTATGAATATTTATATGAATATATATATATATATTTACTTTTAATGTGAGTAGGTAAGATATTGTTTTCCAGTGTTGCAATTTATCACAGTCCCACAAATTATAAAGAAGACTGTCCATAGTCTCTACTTTTTTGCTATATAATTTACTGAAGACAGTGGGCTATTAGAGCTGAAAAGCTGGCTCCTACTTGCTTGAGGGTCAATTGTTTGTACTTCTTCCTAACTCTGAGTTCACTGACCTCACATTTGTGGTCATAGTGGAAGAATTTACAATATTGTAAGTGGCAGATACTATAAATCAGTGTTTCTTATCTCAGAGAGCTGGTTGTTAAACATATGCTAGTTTGTATATACCAGTATCTATATAGTTTAATTTTTGTGTTTGTATGGATAATGATATCATATATGGAAAATTATCTTTCTTATCTGTACTAATAAAAGGGTAATATGCTAATTAGACCGGACATCCTTCCAGACAAAGCCATGGTGTCAGGGCTGGGACAGAGGTGGTTAGGGGTGATCAGGTCGGCAGGGAAGGGCAGTTAGGGATGATCAGGCAGGCAGGCAGACTAGCAGTTAGGAGCCAGAGGTCCAGGACTGTGAGGGGAATCCAGGATTGGAGAGAGTGCTGGCCAGGCTGAGGGACACCTCTCCTTCTTGATCATGAATTTTGTGCACCAGGCCTCTAGTTCTTTTATATTTTTATTACTTTATTGGTAGTATGTAAATCAATCTATAAACTAAATGATGTACATTAAAAACCTCTGCAAGTTGCCTAGTTGGTATGGCTCAGTGGTTGAGAGTTGACCCATGAGACAAGAGATCACAGTTTGGATTCTGAGTCGGGGTACATGTCCAGCTTCTAGGCTCCATTGCCAGTGTGGGGTGTGCAAGAGGCAGCCAATCTAAGTGTCTCACTTATCAATGTTTCTATCTACCCCTCTCTCTTTCTCTCTTTCTCAAATCAATATGGATTTTTTTTTTCTTAAATATATTTTTATTGATTTCAGAAAGGAAAGGCTATGGAGAGAGAGACAGAAACATCAGTGATGAGAGAGAATCATTGATCAGCTGCCTCCTGCAAACCCCACACAAGGAGATTGAGCCTGCAGCCAGACATTTGCCTCACTGGTAATTGAACCACTACCTCCAGGTTCATAGGTCAATGCTCAACAATTGAGCCAAGCTGGCTGAGCAAGAACATATTTTTAAAATAAAAATAAACAAAACCCCTGCAAGTTATAAGGAAAGTTGAAATCTGAACTATATATTTTGACTTTAAAGTAGATGGTATCTAAGAGGCTAGAGGTCTGATGAGAAATACTGAACATTACTCAGCGTTGGCCTGGCTCTGTTTATGGTACAAATATTTGATTGGTTTGCAAAGAGAACCATTAAAATTTTGTGGGAAGTTCTTTTTATCCATGTGAACATGTTATATTCTTGAATATGTTAGAAGAGTTTTGGTTGGCCCACATTAAAAAAAATACGTCACTTGTTTTTTTGATAGTATTTATAGCATTATCACCCACACTTTTCATTTTCCATATGAATATCAAATGAATGAATGATTAGTTATAGAGAAAAGAAGAAGAAAAAATCCCAGAAAGGAATTTCAGAGAAGTATAAAAATCAATGGGGTTTTCTTTTATTGAAATTTCCAATACATTCTATTATCACAGATTCTAATTTTTATGTTATCCTAAGTCACAAAGGAATCAAACTCATCTCTATACATAGATTTTCTTACAAGCTACTGTCTTTTGTATTACTTGAATTCTGAGGAAAATACTAAGGGCTGTTTACTCAAGAGCTCTTAAATAATTTTCAGGATTATTTAGAATCATAACAAGAATGATTTTTTGAGTTATCTTATTAATAGCATGATCTTTATTTTAACAAATCTGGAGAATAAACACTAGCTGTTTTTAATAAAAAATATAATTTATAAAAATATAGAACTACTATTTAGTTTTTAGCTGTAATTTCTCCTAATGGCTAAGCATATATTTTAAAGTATGTGAAATGTAGAAGCAGAAACCATTTACCTCATCCCCTTCTAGCTTTTTTGGGCTGGTCTAATAAGATATATTAAGAGGAAAACAAAATAATTTTACCAGTCTATGTACATGAGCTCCGTAAAAAAACTATAAGACTAAAAGAAACAACTTTTATAACTTTAGACAAGGAAACAGTAAATTTGTAAAGAACTGGCAAAACAAATGGATTAGGATTTAGAGTAATAAATTAGTGCGGATTAACAATGTTTGTTTAGAGCCATCTGGGTCCTAAAATCTCTATTCCTGGTGATAAGGATGCTTTCTATGATCCTAGTATGGGTCGGTTACTTTTCATATGAAAGTTTATTTTCTACATTCAGGAGTACAAAGGAGGGTCAAAGTGTTGTTCTTGTACCAGCTGTTTCATATGTAATGTTAACTCAAAATAAATAGTGCCCCAAATGGCATATGTCAGCTCTCCTTCACAACACATTGCAATTATGTGGGCTTAGATATAAAATAATTTTTATACTTTTAGATTCAAACTATGTAAACAACTTTTCAGAAGTAACCCCCACCCTGACCTGTCTACTGCAAACGGATGGAAGAACTGCTCATTTTACTCCCATATTTTGGAGCCCTTCCCATTTCTTGGGCATAGTCTTGGGGAGGGGAGCTGAAATAGAAAGGGGGCATTTAATGGTTTACTCCTTATAAAATGTTCAAGTAATGAAGATAGGTGAACGTGTGGACACAAAAACTATGATGCTATCCTGTATGTATACTTTATTTTAGATAGGCAAATGTTTCAAATAAAAATATAATTTCAAGAAGAGAAGAAAAAGAAAAAGAAAAAAGGAATACTTTTAAAGTGACTTAGACCAAGGCAATCTTATTACAGCTGTTTTTCTTTCTGAATATAGAAATTTAACAGAATCATGTTGCTAGGATAAGTTTTAAATTTTCAGTCAGTGATATGCCATCTATCATTGGTGAGCAGAAGCAAGACAAACACCTCTGAGATCTTGGTTAACCGAGGTAGGGTCAAAAGACACAGGGCAACTCCAAATATGTTGCTTTTTTTTTTTTCCTTTCCCAACTGCAAATACCTGATAAGGCAATGAAAGAATCTTTAAAATATGTATCTATGAGTAAGGTTTGGTGAATGCTTCTAGCCATTTTATTAAATTATGAACTAGTTGAGTTCTGAGTATTTAAATGTTAGATGGCTCTTTATTTCAAGTTTTCTATGACATTGCCTCAAAACTAAAATCCAAACTTTGACATGTTTACCTCAGACTCATTTTAAAACCAGGTCGCCCAAAATTTCATAGTATTTGTTAGAGTCCACATCTTTCTGGCCCCATTCAATACAATCAATATTAAACGTAATATACTTCTAAATATAGAGCAGGCACTGATTGAGTTAGAAACAATCATTTATCTCTAGTTTGATTACAGATTAGTGGGTACTTAAACTATTTTTCAGAAATCCTTTCACTTGAGATGAAGGAATTGACATATATTCATCTGAGAGTTAGAGGTCTTATCACCTTTATATGATCACAGTTGAAATACTTTTAGTTTTATAAAAATGTGCTTTGTAAAAAAGAGTGGATTGTGACAATGATTTAGTTATCTCTGAGCTATTTTTTAAATATATATCTTTATTGATTTTACAGAGGAAGGAGAGAGGTAGAACCATCAATGATGAGAATCATCCATCGACTGTCTCTTGCATGTCCCCTACTGGGAATTGAGCCCACAATAGATTATCTGGCCTTTTCTTTTTCCACTCCCACCCCCTGCCACTTAAAAACTCACATTTTATAAATCAACACTTTGTAAGAAGTATATTTTTCCAGTATGCAATAAAAATCTACATTATGTATGTTGTTAAATGCATACTCTCTGTTATGCATTTGCATCTGTTTTATAGCATAGTGACAATGAACCCCAGACTAGAGAATAGTGAAAGATTTGTACCTAACAGAGTAAAAATAAAAATAAAAATAAAAAAAAAACACCTTAGGAAACATTCCACTTTGTTGATTACAGTGACTTGGTGATGACACGTAAGGTGTACATTGCAGGGCTGAATAGCATGCAAATATAGAAACGCTGCCTCTGGGATATTAAAACAGTCTTGCCACATTCAAGGTCATATATAATGTTACTTGTTTAATACTTATTTTCTTAAGTTGAGATCGATTCAGTCTTTTGTATAAGTTTAAGTTCATCCTAAGTAATCATAATTTTAAAATGGGACATTTGATGAACCAGATATATTTGCCAAAATGTAAAAGAAACCCATGGGTTTATGTTAAGTGAATATTTTTCTATATATACTCAAACATTTAAACTCACACATTTAAAGTATAATTTTAAGAAATTAAGAAAATTTAAACATAGTGGACTACATCAAACTAAAATGTTTTTGCACAGAAAAGGAAACCATCAACAAGACAACCCACCGAATGGGAGAAGATATTTGCAAACCATACATATCTTCTTAGCAATTGTAACTTTTTAGAGTTCCTAGTAATGGAGAAACAAAATAAAACAGGTTTCATTTAGATATTTGGAATACTAGGTTATTATTTTGTTGTTGTTGTTGTTGTTGTTGTTGTTGTTGTTGATCCTCACCAGAGGATACTTTTCCCATTGATTTTTAAAGAGTCTGGAAAGACGGATTGAGGGAGGGCAGAGAGAGAAAACCATCTACATGAGAGAGATCCATGGATTGGTTGCCTCCTGCACATGCCCCCGCCAGGGCCAGAGATGAAACCTCCAACCCAGGTACTTGCCTTTGACAGGGAATTGAACTCAGGACCTTTTTGGTACTAGGGCCAATGCTCTATCCACTGAGCCACACCAACCAAAGTACACAATTATTTTAATGATGTCAGCAGACTAGATGGAGATAAAAATGCTCTCACAAAACTTTATAACAGAACAAATTGTGTGACACATGCAAAGTATTTCTTTAATAAGAGTACAGCAGACCTCTTCTCACTTAATGTTTTTAAGACATTAAGTGAGAAGAGCAAAGGTTTTATTTTATTTTCTTCCCTTTATTTTCCTCTTCATTTTTGTTTAATGAGGTATGTTCTTAAAATAACCCAAATTTATCTAATAAACCTAAATTGCTTAAAACATAAAAAGAAGTTGGGTTGGAAAATCAAAGATCATCTTTATTTGCTAATTGGTCTTCTCAAAGAAGAAGAAGAAAACTTTATTGTATCTTTCTAATGGGAGGTAGTTCCGCAATTTGGAGCAAGCCTCCTCTGGAAGTTATGCTCCCAGCCTCCCACAGTGACTGAGATATAGAAGCTCTATCTTCCTTGATGATTATATTTTAAAGAGAAGAGTCTTGGATCATAAAAACTGGCAAAAGTGCGAGCTGGGATGAACCATTGGGTGCATATAGCTTTTTGAATTAACGTTTTAATTTTCTTCTGATAAATAGCCAGCCAGAAGTAGAACTAATAGTTGGGTTCTGTTATATTTCTATTTTTATTTTTTTTAATCTTTATAATAAAATTATAATAACTATACTGTGAAAGATGGTTGCTAGACTTGTTATCATGGTGATTATAACATATATAAACATGGAATCATGTAACTGAAACTGAAATAAAATTGTATGTCAACTATACTTCAAGAAAAATTGAGCAGGGAGAAGATTCACATTTCCAAGGGGCAGAGAAAATTTTTCAATTGCAAGTTTTCTAAAGTAAATGCTCTGGGAAAACAGAGGTCAGGTGACTGTCATCAGAAGCACTTATCCAGAGTTTAGCCAAAGTTAGGGAAGCATTAGTCCATTGTGTTGTTTGGTTGTTTGCTTTTCTTGTTGATTTTTTTCTCTCTCACAGGATCGGGCACAGAATCTGAATGAAAGGCGAACCACCACCACCACCCTCACAGTGGATGTTCTGGACGGAGATGACTTGGGTCCGATGTTTCTTCCCTGTGTCCTGGTGCCAAACACTCGAGATTGCCGTCCACTCCACTATCAAGCTGCCATACCTGAGCTGAGAACCCCGGTAAGTACACTGTCTTCTCTCCTTCCTCACGTTCACCTCTGTGACCCCAGTGTGATTCTGATCAAGTGTTTTTCAGACATTAAGTGAGAAGTGCAGACTTCGCTCTGAGGGTGTTGAAACTAATGATGCCCAAAGCCTGTTTTGGAGACAATGTGCACACGTTTGGTCACAATGCACAATGATGTTATTTACAAAGTAGGAAATATGTGATGGAGCAACAGCTCCCTGTGCCCTGAGTTAGTTTCCGATATGTTCTGTGAAACTCTGAAAAATAACTCCAGCATTTCTTAAAATCCACATGTAAAAATGCAGTCCTCAATCAGAGGACACACGGGTCAAAAAGATATTCTCTAGCCTCATTAGGTTCTGAATTATTAGTGGAGATTACGCTTGGCTACTTGGAGATGGAAACTAATGAATCCTGAATGCAAATATTTATTCCTTAAATATATATTTTAAAGAATTAGGAAGGAGAGGTTTAAATACTTATTTTCCACACTGGTTTCTGCTTGACTTATTAAATTCTAAATTAAGCTATATTAATGATGGAGAATATTAAACTTTATTTGACATACTTAATAGAAATAATGAGAAAAAGTAATACTTTCAGTATTATTTTATTTTTCTGAGTTAATATATATACCGTAGCTGGTATACTGGTGAGATCCCAAGAGAAGGACACACTGTTATAATAATGACCAAAATCAATGATCTGCCTGTCTAACAGTGCTTGATGTATTGAAAGAAGTAACAGAAGACAGAGGTTGCATGGGGAAGCACTGGATTGATTTCATAAAGGATTTTTGAGTCTCCCTTCCTCTTTCTTCCAGATTAGAGATTAAGCATCTTTCATGGTTTAATAGCTTCATGCTAAAGACAAGGCTATGCTCCAGATTTGGGATAAAAATATAAATTATAATAATGACTAATGGTTTAATTTCACCAAAACTGTACTGAACTCTACAAAAATATCAACTGCAATCCATTTGCATAGTAACCATTGTTATGGTAATGTTACAGATGAGCTTTCTGAGGTACAAAGTTTAAGTAACTTTCTGTGGCCTTACAGCTAACAAGTAAAAAGTGTTTTCTTTTAAAATCATGCATTTTGAATTAAGTGTTATGCTATAAATTCCAAGATGATCAATTTTTATACTTCATCATCATTTTAACAGATTGACCCATTCTTTAACATTCTTTGAAACAAAGAGGATTTTCATTTTACATACTTAAATAATCATGGCAAATATTTGTCCATTTAAGATATATTTTTATTGCCAAAAATGTAAATATGCATATTTGCAAAATTGGGCAGTTGTTCTGATTATTTGTGGCTGCATAACAATTCACCTAAACTTAATGGCTTCAACAAGAACTTTCCAATTTACTCAGAAAGCTGCAATTTTGGCAGACTTGAAGGACAGCCTCATTCTTGCTCCACATAGAATCACCTTGGGCACCTTGACTAAGAGCTGGGTCCCACTTTCAGAGTGGTTAACCTAGCAAGTTGATTCTGGCTATTGTCACAAGCTCAAGCATGGCTGTGAACTCCAGGCTTTATTGCCAATGCCTGTGGGCCTCTCCTAGGCTCTCTGAGTTCCCTCCCAGCCAGGCGCTGGGTTCCAAGAACAAACTCCCTGAGAGAATTAGGCAGCAGTTTTATGAACAAGCCTTGTAATTTGCTTTGCTCTTCTGCTGTTGGCAAACCGCTGCCAGACTCAAGAAATGGAATGGCATGCCATCCCATAATGGGACATGTGCCTCAATCACACACAAGAAGAATACATGGGGAAAGAAATTTTACTGTGGCAATCTTTGGAAAATAAAATCAGTCATTGCCTGGCTGGTGTTGCTCAGTGATTGAGCATCAGCCTATGAATCAGGAGGTCAGGGCAATGACTGATTTTATTTTCCAAAGATTGCCCAGTTGCGGGCTCAAACCCAGTGTTGGGTGTGCGGAAGGCAGCCGATCAATGATTCTCATCATTAATGTTTCTAATCTCTCACTTCCTCTCTGAAATAAAATGTGTTGTTTTCTTTTTAATCAGTCTTAATGCTGATAATGAGTTTCCCTGTGTTCTTCCACATGCTCTCTTGAAAGCCCTCTGATTACTATGGTAATCAAGTGGAACCAGTTTTTGAGTTTCATGTTCAGATTGCTGTGTTTATCTCATTCTTTTCTTTTCCTTTATATATTTTGCTAAAATTGCTGGGAATTTCAATAAGTAAGATCTTGCTATTTAGAGCGAGAGGACTAAGCATTTATGTCAGCTTAACAGGACATGATGACTCTAATTACATACTTGCTGATCCTTTCCTGAATTAATTCTTAAAATTTTGAAGCTTTGACACCAGCTCACTTTCTTTGTGAAATTTTCCACCAATTACCTCAGTGGTATTTTTGACTTGAGAAATCATTCTAAGTTTCACTACAATGCTTGCAAAATTTATGAGCTCAGAAAAAACTTGAAAGGTAGACTAATACAGGTTTTCACTCACAAAGCAGGACCTATTAAGAATTAAAAAATACTGTTTGTTGAAATGCAAATAATCATGTGTTTAGAGATAAACTTATCTAATAAATGTTTTACATGTTTTTCTACTACTGAAAGTGATCTTCAGAAAAATTAATGTATTCAACAAACACTAACATTAATATTATACTGAGTATGTAAATGTATAAATCTGGTATCTCAAGGGTTCTAAAGTGAATTTTAGTCCTATGCTAATTATCATTTCTTTACTAGAGGCCTGGTGCACAAATTTGTGCACCAATAGGGTCCGTTGGCCTGGCCTGTGGGATCAGGCTGAAATTGCATTTCTGACATCTCCCAGGGTACCAGATTGAGAGAGGGTGCAGGCCAGGCTGACAGACCCAACTAGTGCACAAATGGGGTCAGGGAGGGACACGAGAGGTTGGCCAGCAAGGGAGGGACCATAGGAGGGCTCCAGGGCATGGCCAGCTTGTATACCAGGATCTCAGTCTCTATACACTGGATCACAACAGGAAGCTAACCTACCAGTTGGTGTGTCTGTCCCCTGGTGGTCAGTTCACATCATAGCGACTGGTGGGCTAGTTGACTTTCTGATCCCACATGGCCAGTGCATGTCATAGTGAATGGTTAAGTGGCCTTAGCATACCATTAGCATATTAAACTTTAATTGGTTGGATGGCTGACTGGACATTTAGCATATTATGCTTTTATTACTAATACTAGAGGCCCAGTGAACAAATATTGTGCGTGGTGAGGGGTATCCCTCGGCCCAGCCTGCATCCTCTCCAATCTAGGGCCCCTGGAGGGATGTCCAACTGCCCTCTCACAATCCAGGACTACTGGCTCCCAACTGCTCACCTGCCTGCCTTCCTGATTGCTCCTAGCTGCTTCTGCCTGCCAGCCTGATCACCCCTAACCACTCCCCTGACAGCCTGATTGATGCCTAACTGCTCCCCTGCCAGCCTGTTTGCCCCTAACGACCTGGTCACCCCTAACTGCCCTCCCCTGCCAGCCTAGTCACCCCCAACTGCCCTTACCTGCAGACCCAGTCACTCCCAACGTACCTCCTCTGCTGGCCTGATCACCCACAACTGCCCTCTCTTGCAGATCTGATCCCTCCCAACTGCCCTCTGCTGGCCATATTGTGGTGGCCATTTTGTGTCCACATGGGGGCAACCATCTTGTGTGTTGGAGTTATGGTGAATTTGCATATTATTCTTTTATTGGATAGGATTAGATAATATAGAGGCCTGGTGCACAGGTGGGGTCAGCTGGTTTGCCCTGAAGGGTTTCCTGAATCAGGCTGGAGGTTTCTTTGGGGTTTGGGGTGGCTTGGGGGGAGGGGCCTATGGTAGTTTGCAGGCCAGCCATGCCCTCAGAAAACCAAGTGGAGGCCCTGGAAGCTGGAATTTATTTATCTTCTATAATTGAAACTTTATAGCCTTGAGCACAGCCAAGCCTCTTGCTTGCTCTGCAGTCATTTTTGTTGGGATTTATTTATCTTCTATATTTGAAATTTTGAACCCTTAAGCAGAGTCCAAGGCAGGCCAGGGCAGGCAGAAAGCTTGGCTTCCTCCGTTGCCAAGCCTCCTGCTCTCTCCATGAACACAGCCATCTTGGTTGGGTTAATTTGCATAACCGCTCCTGATTGGTTGGTGGGTGTGGCTTGTGGATGTAGTGGAGGTACAGTCAATTTCCATATTACTCTTTTATTAGATAGTATGTAGGATTATTTTGTAAGTATTTATTTGACCCTAATGCATGTTATATTGTATGCTACTTGAAGAGACTTGACAACTAGGATGAGATAAAATCCTTCTCATACTTGTATATTGTTTGTATTCTCACTTTCTGACTCTTTTAAAGTTATTACCTCTAAGTAGTTGAATTTTTCTCATACTGTGAGAAAATTATGGAGAGTATAAAATCCATACTTCTGTGTTCTCCATTTTCTATTGAGGCACAGAGACAGAGTAAACCCTTATACACTTTTTTTTTTTTTTTTTTTTTTTTTTTCAGAATTGAACAGGTGTACACTGGTTGGTTGGTTGGTTTTTCTGAGTAATTTGTTCCTGAATTTGTTCCTGTATTAAAATGAAAATACTGGCATACTATCTGTGTCTACTGTATATACCTTCCTTTATTTACTGTGCCTGCATTAGTTGCCTAACAGACAAATCAATGAGCAGATAAAAAACACACTCTGAGTTTTTCTCCAGCCCTGTTTTAAAGCCTGGGGTTGGATACCAGGATTGTTTACCTACAAATACCCTCACTGTGGTCTTTGCCATGAAGAACTCCAGTTTTCATGTAACTGTGGAACCTACCTCCTCTTCTTTATTGATGGTGCTCTCTTCTTCCAGGGAAGCTTTCTCAGTTATTACAAGAGTGGTGGTGATTTGCAGTGATGTACAACATAATTGCCTCTTGCCTCATGCTCATTAAATGTGTTACAATCTGGGTACTCCCTCCTCTCTTGTGTTTTATTAAACTCCTGGTTCTTTT